CTGTGAGTTCGAGCCCCGCGTCGGGCTCTGTGCTGACAGCTCAGAGCCTGGAGCCCGTTTCGGATTCTGTGTCTCCCTCCATCTCTGCCCCTCCCCTGTTCATGCTCTGTCTCTCTCTGTCTCAAAAATAAATAAACGTTAAAAAAAAAAAAATTAAAGAAAGGCTGGGTCAGTAAGCTGTGGGTGCCGAGGAAGAAGCAGCTGATAAGGACTTGAGGTCGGGGGTGGGGGGGTGGGAGACGGCCTTGGAGTCAAGGTGGCAGAACGTGTGCAAGCCCGCAGGGGCCCGGGAGGGAGTTAGCGGGAAGCCGCCTGGGGAGGGAGACAGGACCCGCTCCCCGAGCACGGGCCTCCTGACATCCCCCCTCCCCGGCCCCGCGTGGAAGCTGCTAGAAGCGCTAACTGAATCCCAGGTGGTGTGGTTAAGTCCTGTCTCGGCTCATCCTTTCGTCTGGCTCCTGTCCTCTCCCGGGCACTGCGCTCGGCCCCAGTGCGAGGGCCGCCGGGCCTCCCGGAGCAAAGCAGGAGCTGAGCTGTTGCCGGAGCACCTCCTCCGCCTGCCCTGGGGCCCCCGGGGCCAATGGGACACCCCACCCACCGCCTGTGCCTCCCGCTGAGACGGCCTACTGGTCCGGGGCCCCGTCCAGGCACGACCTCTGCCCGGGGCCCAGCGTGGGGCCCCCCTGTGTCACATGTGTTCCCTCCCCCACCATAACCACCGCTGAGTGGGGCGGGGGGGACTTCCCTGTGCCGTCCCCCACATCAAGCTTTTGAGAAAGTGTCTCTGGTGTAGTGGTGCCTCTTAACGGATGACCTAGTGTGGCCCATTAACCAGAAGAGGCCCCTAAGGGCCCCACTTGGTACGTGGGGCAGCCCCACGCAGCCGGCGGGAGCCAGGCCCCGAGGGTGGGGACAGACTCCCAGTGGCGGACCATCGTGGCTCAGTCACCGTGGGGTGCATCACTCCACCCCCTCCGGTGGCTTCCCCGACCTCACAGCCGTGGGGCTGAGGCTTAGACCCTTAAGTGAACGGCCAAGTCCGGCTCTTAAGCAGCCGACCTGAGACCCGAATTTGGATCCATCTGGTGACACAGGCCGAACGGTTAGCGCTCAGCCAACACACTGTCAAACACTCACCAGGTTCACGGGGGGTCAGATGTGAGCGCACATGAGCCCCGCTGGGAGCGCTCACACACAGATGGCTGGGCCACCCGGAGCTTCTGATTCGGGGCGGGCGGCGGGTGGGGGTGGGGGTGGGGGGGTCGAGGCTGCCGCGATCCCCAGATGGGGGGCCGACGCTCCTGGTCGGGGAACCCGACGCACTCGATGGTCTGCGAATCCTGGGGCTCTGAACCGGGGCTGACCCACGGGGTTCAGCGGTGACGGGAAGGTTCCGCTCTGCACTCCCACTGGCAGCCAGGGGCTTCTGGGCACTTCACGTGTGCCTGGGAGGGCAGAGGACGTGTGGGTTTCGTTTTGCCTGTTTTTTTAAATTACTTTTCTTACTAAAAAAAAATTTTTTTAAGTTTATTTTGAGTGGCATTGGGCCCCAGGGGGGCGGGCGGGTGGGGCGCAGAGGGAGGGAGAGAGAGAGAGAATCCCAAGCAGGCTCTGCGCGGTCAGCACAGAGCCCGACGCGGGGCTCGAACTCACGAACCGCAAGATCGTGACCTGAGCCGAAACCGAGAGTCAGATGCCTGACCGACTGGGCCACCCAGGCGGCCCTACCTGATTTTAGATGCAGGTTTGCATAGCCACATGTGCCTAGCGGCCGGGAGTCGGGCAGAGGAGCTGGAAACGAAGAGGAGAGGTAGATCTATCCTTGTAGCTAATGGTTCGCTCCAGGGGTTAAGCTGCCGCAAGTCGTTAGGAGCCACTTCTTCGTTAGGAAACATTGTCGTGTCTGCGTCTGGTTTGCTGCGAGGGCCGTGCTCCTGGTTCCGATTTCGGTGCCTGTGGCACATGTGATGGGACCGGGGATCACGGGCGCTGCTTTGGCGGCGTGATGAGGGACTTGGGTTCGGTGGCAGGGCAGGACCCCGAGCGCTCGGGGCTGGGGGAGCCTTGGTG